ATCTCCTTCATCCTTGACGCGGAGAGACGTCCTGCACTCTGGGAAAAGGTCCTGCGTGTCAAAGGAAGACCCTGATTTCCTGCGTGTCTCCGTAGAATCGAGTCTTTCACTTCGGATCGGGAAATTCTACCGTGCAGCGCCTGGTAGATTTGATAAAGGAGAAATTGCTCCGAAGAAAGTACTAGCCGAATGCTGCCCACTTGTAACTTGTACGTGAGACATTTTCCTGATGTCTGTATCGTCAGGTGTATCGAGGCTTTAAAATAACGCTTGCCACTGCTACGTGTACACGTCGTCTTCCGTGAAATCGGAAATGATTTCTTCGACAATTAATTAATTGTTCGTTCTTTCAATCGAGTACATACTATTCGCGATCAGATTTCAAAAATAATTCTGGTGCAGTATCTCAGAATTAAAATAAAAAATCAAGACACAGATGCATTCACTGAAAGACCGAGCGATCTTATCGCTCCGGCAGAGAATGAAATTCAGCGGAACACCGCGCGGCATTCTGTAAACGATATTAATCCACTTCACCCACTGACGGTCGTTCTGTGTCATGTTTCAGACAAGCTCCCTGGATGGAGTGTCGAGCGGTGGAACAGTCCTCTAACCGTCCGTGGAGACGAACGCGGTAATGAAATAAATTAATTAACCGCTATTATGACGGCCGCTCGCGACGGAGAAGCGGGAACCGCGTCGCTCGAGTCGCATTCCATTAGGAATCCCTTTTTATTTCCGGGTTCAGCGGGACGCTGAAGTTCCGGTCGACGCAGCCGTCGGAAACTGCTAAGTTGCGAGTGCTACCAACATCGAGGGGCCCCGGTAATTGGGTTTCCAAAGTATTGACCGCAACGCTCAAGTTCGAAGGTCTTCCCACGCCGCGAATCACGAAAAACCTCGTTAACATCGAAGGTCGGGCGAATTTGTATGGAAAAAAGAACCGGTCCCGACCTCGTTCCCGCGGACAGTGTCAGACACTCCCGCGGACAATTAGGTTCGGTCTGAAAATTCAATTCTCGTCCCATCCTAATTTCCGCGAATTTCGAAAATCAATCCCACCGTAACCGAATTCCCGTTCGATTTCTCCGCTTCGTTACATTCCTTTTTTTCGGTGGCACATCGCGTTTCCCTCGTTCCGGGGAAATCATTTTTTCCCCTGATTTTCCCGGGGAAAATTCGCGCGATGATACGAACGCGAAATGACGAAAACATAATTGACAATCCCTTCACCCTGCTGCGTTTCTCGGGTCAATTTCAACCGATCGTTTCCTCGTTTTTCCGACGTTTCGGTTTTTCCTCGAGTTAATCGTGACCTCGTTATATTCGGAATAATTTGCAGTCAAGAGTAATATGAAAAGTTCTAGCCTATTACTATCGTTTTAATGAGTTTTCAAATCTCCGGACGAATCGAGGGCTCTACGAAATTTTCGAAGCTTTTTTGACGAATCTAGGTGAATCGTGTTTTCCGTTGAATTGGCATAGAAATTAAGTAATCTGCATCGCGTCTGCAGCTTATCAAATTGATTGTCCGTTCGCTGTAAAACGGGACGCGATCTACGGATGGTCGTTACCTCTCTAATCTCGTTAGTCCCTCCGGAAACTCGTTAAATTTTACTGAACGCTGTCTCCCCCCGCCGCGCTCGCGATTCTTGGAGCCACGCCGCCCGTGCAATTAACGTAATTAACATATATGCGCTGTAAAATCGAGGGAACTCGTTCGCCGGCTCGAAGTTCCCCGGGTATCGCGCGTCTGAGACCCTCCGCCTCCAAATAATCGTTCCAACACCGATGCTTCCCGCTACAGTCGCTCAGCCTGCAACAGCGAGGCTGCAGCACGCCCATTTATCATACCATGTGGTACGGTGAAACCGTTATTATTATTATTTTCTGGTAGATTTCTCCTCGGTGAAATTTGGTGGGTCTCGACCGAAGCGTATCGAGCAATTTAATTATTAGACCGCGAGTTCTATTGCTTTCGCGGCGGTTCCAAGAACGTCAAATGAACAGCTTCACTGAAATTTCCGTGAAGCTTTATACGATTATAGTGAAACCCGCAGGTAAAGGAATAAACTTCCTTTCCATCGCAACTTTCTCGAATTAGTTCCGACAACATTTCCAGCCGTCTGCGCTAAGAGAGAATATTTAAGTCTATTAACGATTAAGTGCAATCGCAAAAGATTGTAGTCGATTATTCGAAATTCTGACAGCAATGAAAATTCTAATCACGGACAAACGACGAACCATCGATTCGATCCATCGATCGAACCTTCTCGAACGGAACTCTTCGTCGAATCGTTCTCGATCTTGTTGTCGGTGGCGCATGTGCACGTGGACGTGTCACGTGGCCACCCTCGTCATCCCCGATAATATATTACTCGCCCCGGAAGCGTGTCAGGTTTAAATTAATCTCCCATTGTACTCTCCCGTACAGGTACGTCGAGCCGGGCCCACGAAACTACTCGGTGACAACGACAACGACACCATTACATCAGCCGCGGGTCTGCGCCCGCTGCCAGTGCCCGGGATAATAACCGGAAGGTTGGACGATTAATTGATCAGACATCGAGACCAGTTTTACCAAGTCAACCCGGAACCGTTCTCGTTAGCTTTCGAGCACGCACAGCGATACGCAATTATTTTCCAGGTAATTTCCATCTTCTCATTAATCGACGAGGCAGACAAATATATATATATATATATTCGCAAGTTTCCACTGATCAATAATCAATTTCCAAGTGGAGCATCGCCGGCGAGCGATACCGACGTTACCAGTGATTTCTCCGTTGAATAATTAATAACCGTGAAGCTATCTCTAACGTGATCAGTCTTCGAGCGGCGCCGACTGTACGCAATTACCGTCTACCGACGTCGGGCAACACCTGGAGGAGAAACGGTCCGTGAACGGCCGCACACGTGGTCGCCGCGAGAAAACCAAATTGCTAATAAGTTCCCTCGTATATCCGGCCCGGATGGCTTATAATGTCTCACGATACATGGAACCCGAACTTCCGCCACCCTCTATTTTACTCCCGATATCTTTTTTCATAAAAGTTTCGCGCCTGGAACACTAGTCGAGCCTCGCGTCGGGGATCGAAACAAATAAAAGTTTCCCGGAACTGTTCTAACAACCCATCGAATTTTCCCCTCGTCCTCCTCAGGTTTGAGAGCAGACAAGGGCCGAGGGAATAAAAAGAGGACGAGGAAACTCACCGACAATAGTGACGAGTATCAGGAGACCGAGCACCAAAGCCCTGAGGATGATTGAGGCATCGGTGAACACGAAACCGTCCGCGGACGAGTTTCCAGCTGGCTGGCTGACGTGCTCCTCCATGACGTGTCCGGGATATATACGTGGATCTCTGTCCTGGCTAAGTCCTCAATGTCCGCTGGTTATCATCTTAAATAATGTACCATGGTCCGCCGTCAGAAGCAGCTCCGATATGAATCTCCTGCGCGAGCCGACCTTGGCTGGCCCGGCCACTCGCGGACAGAGTTTAATGACTGTCCGTCGAAAGTTTCGCTTCAGCGGCGTCTGCCGACCTTCTCACTTGCCCACGGCGACCCTCGGCCACTCCCATTTCGCGCCCCTGCTCTTAAAGGGAAGTCCTCTCGAAGTAACCGGCTGTCGATCTTGCCTGAAACATTCAAAATGCGTTCGTTCATTTCGGATCGGTGCAAAGATTTCGTTTGCGGAGGCTGGCTGTTGGTTTCCTTTGTTTGGCAGGGGAGGTCAATAATTGGTCGGGGACTGATGGAGGAAGTTTGAAACGTTGATGGATTTTGATTCTGGAAAGTATTGGAAGATTGCGTTTCCAGTGGCTGGAACCAATTGTGGAGTTTGGAGTTCGAAGTAGATGTGCACGGTTACTGATCAGACGAGTGGAATGGATGCTAATGGAATAAGTAAAATGTTTCTCGATGATTGAGGGAGATAAATTCGTCTATTAAGAAAACTTGTAACTTACGATTCACAAGTTAACTTATGTATAAGTTACCAGTGAGTCAATTTTTACTAGAAAGGCAGTAATAGTCGAACGTTCGTCGAATAATAGAGGTACCCGTGATTCCATTGATTCGGTGGATCGCAGACGAGGCAGCTCTAGAAATCCGAAACCCCAAACGAAGCGAGAGGGGTATCACCTTCACAGTTCCGCGAAAACGAACGAAATTGGAGTGATCGATCGGGAATTATTGGAATTGAAACTGTCTCTACGGTCGTGCGCACTTATAAACACACGAGCAGAGACAGAGAGCGAGCGAAAGAGAGAAAAAGGAGAAGCGACAGAGAGGAAGAAAAACGGTGGGGCGTGCACACCGACGGACGAGCTTCCATAAAATTGCATCCCGAGGTCACGCGAGCTATATTTAATTTTTCGATAGACACGTTTCATTAACTCGTATTTGCGGGCAGCGTTCATCGTTCCGATCCGATTGTCCAGCGAGTAAAACGAATGCCCCTTGAATCATCGTTTATCCGAATCAGCAGCGACCCCATCTCCCTCTCTCGCCCTTGCTCGCGTCCGTTTAAACGTTTTATCAAATTTCACTCCGCAATCTCCTCCCTCGATCGTCCGCGAGAAAAATCAGGCGCGCATAAATGCCGCGAAACGTCGATCAAGCTGTAAAGATTAAGGCCGAGGAATCTTCTCTCTCCTCGAGCCTATTAAAAGTTAAGAGGACACGGGGAAAGTGAAGAGCGTCGTAAAGATGCACCAGATAAAATAGCCACTTTCGCACGTTATTAAATAAATTTTACGATGTTTCGTTTCGAGGACGTAAAACGCGAGACTCCGATACCATAGACACGGAACGAGCTTTCGATTGCTTTGCCCGTCCCGCGCGGTCTTTTAATTCCACGATTCCGCGGTGGCCGCTATTATATGCATTAACGAGCGGTGTCACGTCTCCCCGTAATGGTCGGCGCGTGTCGCGCAACTGCCAGCTAATCCGACCGGAAATTTTCGAACGCGGACCACCGGTCGCCGACGGAAGCTCACTCGAAAACTGACTTGCAATTCGCCTTTATCGGCAATCACCGCTCGTCGCGCTCGCTCCGGCGAAACGAGCGCGATAAAACTGTAATTTCAATTACAATTTCGTGCGAGGGAGCTGTCGTTCGGACGGTATCGGAGGCTCCAGCAGTTACGTTCGAAAAACTCGCGTCGAACGAGGGAATCAACGGACCGAGCGTGGAATTTTCTGTCCGACGCGTTCGCCCCGCTTCCGACGGTTGTCGCGCAATCCCCGAGAGCATTTATGAGTACTTTATTTCGCGAATGAATTCCTCGACGTTCGCCCGACGGAAGGATTCCGTGATCTCCCGAAAAATTATTCTTCCTTCGAGAGTACGCTCGCGACGGCGTCGCAAACACGTCGCGCGTATCCTCGTTTTTCACCCCTGCAGAGTGGGCGTTCCCGAGTTTCTTTCCGCGAGCTGTGTTTGCCGCGCGCGAGCGAAGCGTATACTCCAGAAGCGGAGCCTAATTGCGCCATTGTCGCGACGATACCGTTAATCGAATAAGGGCTCGCGACTCGACCCGAGACGTCGGCAATTAATTAGTTTATTTCACCGGCTGACGGGAGACGGCGGCTCTCGGAGTCTAACGAGTCGAATCCCTTAATGGAAATGAACGACGCAGCGAAGAGGACGATTCTTTCGCAATTAAACGAAACACCGGCGACTCACGGCTACTAATCGATCCGATTTCAGCTCGGGCACCGCGTAAAATACAGCCGCCCGCGATTCTGACGAGACCAATTTGCGGAGGAACCCAATTCCTCGGGGAATTATCCTCTTGATCTTCGTTCTGATTATTACAACACTCGCAGCTTAACGGGAGCGTTCGTCGAAATTGGACTACAGTCTTTAGCAAAAGTCCGAGCACGTCTGGGGCGCTTCGAAAGGTCGAGGAGAGTGTCCCCTTCTGAATTTTCCATTACAAGGGCTACAATTATCTTTAATGGTATAACTATTTTCATTCATTTCACTATTCCGACGTCTCTCCAGAAATTTCCAGATGAAATCTACTTCTCCGGTCTCCGAAATCGGCACAATCCTCTCCGACCTGCACAATTCCAATCTTCCTACCTCCAATAAAATCTCGGAAACCTCAACCTGCCCAACACAGCGAGCACCGAAATCTCTACTTTGCGACACCCTGTACGCCCATCGGCAGCGGAAAACGAATGGAACACCTCGGAGAGCAGCAATTAGCAGTAAATGAGAATCGATCGGAATCATGGGGTCAGGACAATCCGAGAATTGGCGAGAGCGGGGCAGCACGCGTTCCGGAATTAGAATGATTATCGGTCGGCCGGGGGTGCACCGGTTGCCGTCGGGTTCGAGTGTCCTTCGAAAGGCTTCGGTTGTTCGGGCGAACGTCAGAGGAGGTCCTCCTCGCCGGCTGAGCCGGCGGTAATCCGCGGATCCCGTAAGCTCCCTGAAAGCGGAAAGTCCCCCGAAGAGGAGGGAAGTTAGTTACACGGGGCTAATGGAAGCCAGCGGCGGCGGCGTGGCTAAACAATATGGGCAGCGACACGCTAACAAAGTTCCCCGTGCCAAGAAACGTAATTAAGGCTTGCAGAAGTTAAGTTAATTTGGAAATACCGAGTTACGGTTGCCGGCGGGGCGGCGCGGGGGCCTCCGCTTCGAGCTCCTGTAATCAATTCGATATCACTGTGGCTGATACTCGGCCAGGCAAAGTGTTTTGCGGATCGTGAACCGGGTATGCAGCTTGTTCGCCAACTTCGATGTAAATGGGAGCTGCACCGGTAACCAGGCTACATTCTCCCTACAGATTTCGACCGCCTCCGGTAACTTGCCGGATTTTTACACAATGTTCCATGGTCCGAATTGGCTTCTTGTTCCGTTGGATTTTGGTTAAGTGAATTGGTCCCAGCTTGTTTTGAACTGTTAATTAGAGCTCGAAGACTAATCTTCTTGTAGGAGCTCAAGTCTTATCAGTAGGACTCCGGGGATCTAACACAAATCGTGAATTCCCTCTCGAGTGGATGGAAAGTTCTTTCGTCAAAAATATCAGCTAGCACAATTCCTCGAAGATAAATAGGGTGTTCTCGTCGTAATAGAAAAAAACTTGAAGGATCAGGCAACTGATATACTTGCTCCACAAACCGTATTTAAAATCACGATTTCAACGCATCGAATCTACCAGAAAAAATCAAAAAAAATCACAGGTGTCGAAAGGACAATTAAATTTTAGTTGTTCCACGGAGTGGCATCGCGGAAACCGCCCTGTTCCCTCAACAGCCCCGGTAAGTCGGTTGTCCCCGATTTCCAGGAGGCACCAGGGTGTCTTCTGGTCTCGGACGTGATAGCAGAAAACGTTACACGGCCCGTTAGCTAGCCTGGCAATTCCGAGTTACACGGGAACTCGTATGAGCCACTCTGTCGGCGGACGTCGAGTCGACAATTACACGGAATTATCCTCCGTATCGCGCCGCCGCCTCGCCGCAAGAATTAAACTCGCGGAAAAGTCCGCTGGAATCTCGCGAACGCTCGATTAATGCCCGACGCGGCCGGCCCGCCGATTCCGTAGTTTTCCATCGTTTAATTAAAACTTTCCGAAGCCGAGGAATCTGTTATTCAGCGCTTCCGGAGCGCGGCAAATAAAGTTTCGCCGTTATCATCGTTTATGGCCGGGATTCTTAGATAATGAGCGAGCCAAGGGCTCGCTGCTATTAACGCGATTACTTTCATTGGCCCCGATGCACGTCGAGTGTGCTTGCATTAATCTGTATTATCCTGGAACCGCTGCTTCCGACGTTTTGCTTAATTAGAAGTTCGGCCAGAGAAACAGCGCGCCGTTGGAGTCGGTGCAGTCCATTTAATAAGTCTATCCGACGCCTCGACGATTGATACTTCGAATAAACTGCGTAAACTATGAAAATGAATTTCCCAACTCATTCGTTGCTCGTGACGTTCAATTTGCTCGTTTTAGCTGGAGTAGTTTAGCCGGAACTTGAAGTTTCCGTTAAAGTGGAGCAAGCGTAGAACCGAATCTAAGGAGATAAAGGTCTTGGTTAGGCAAACAGATAAAATACAGTATCAAGTGAACGGTAAACAAAGTTCGTCACTGATCAGACAGGTGGAACAAACACGCCGACAGTCTACAGTAGATGAATCCGGATATTGGTCAGACAAGCAGAATAATAAGATGAGTGAAAGGAACTCCGTTGGTTAGACCAGTAATCCAAGTTTATCCTTGCGCAAACAATTTTATTATTCATCAGCTGATGGAGGGAACTCTGCAACAACTGTTATCAAAATAACCAACGGGGTATCAATAATTTTTCAGACTCAAGCGACCAGAATAAAACTTCCGAGGGACTTTTATAATATCCTACTGCCTATCGGAAAATCAGTCTGCAGTGGTAGGAAGCTTTTATAGAGTCTTTTAGAGCCAGAAATAATTCCTTGCGTACCTGATGGTAACGTTTCATCCCGACTGCATCGATCGTAAATGGCAAATAAAATTGGATTTCTGGCATAGTCTGGAATATATCCGGAAACGATATCCGTGAGACGACCCGTCAGGTGATCTCGTACAGGATACTGTCTGCGACAGATTTGAATTACGCGGGGTCGCTAAATCCCGGCCTCCTAAAGCTGGCCTTA